CGCTTTAACAAATAAAAATGTTACATTGTACCCCTTCAACAATGAATCCCGTCAAACTACGGCTGTGCCATTAGCATCTAGTTAATACTATTTAAACAACTTTTTGGGGGCGTTTGAGCTCATGAATACCAGTTTTTTTCATTTTACTGTACACATGAGGAGATATGATGGCCAATGAGAAAACTATTCACCAGAGTCCAAATGAGGTAGATATTAGCAATGTTAGGTCACCGTACGGCTTTAAACAATAAGAAAAAATCATACCGTATAGTCATCTATAAAAGGTCCCTACATGAAAGATGTGAAACAATTAAAAAAAATAACCATATAATTTGCGAAAAACAAATATGACAGACATGAGCCAACGACAACCACTGATTTCAGGCTCCTGACTGTGGACAGGCACACAGAGAATGTCTAGGGATTAAAAATCATTTGTGAGCGTTCAATCATTCCCTCACCTCTGACAGTAGTGAAACATCACAACACAAAGTACAAACTATAAAAAATCAGTTGCAAAAGGCTTAACTCACTCACTAGATCGGTACCAAGCACAAACACAACTACCATATAAATCATTAAACACAAGCATCGATATAAGAGTACTCGCAGGTACTGTAAACTATTTGAAAGCCAATAACAACTAATAAATGAATCATGTTCTCTCAGACTGTTTTTGTTTGTTTTGTTTTGGGTTTTTTTCCTCCTTTTTTATTGGTCTTCTAGTTACTCGCACTAGTTCTAATGTGTGGATATTGATTATATGCTATATGCCCTCCTGGGGCCCTCAGGCCTAATTTGGGGAATACAAATATTATCAAAGTACTGAAGTACTGAACATCGGATGACCGCAAGTTCATGTGGATGGTCACTATTATATTGTAGTGATACAAATCTGTATACTCTGGTTTGTTGTTATACATTAATATAACAGTTACATGACTTGTATAAAATATAATTTTCATCCATTTGTATATCATTCTTTTATATACTATTCTAATAATAGTGCAGTGCAAGTGCATGGTGGACACTCTTCTGTAATTAAATGATTTTTCTGATAGATTGGATTTGATCAGGCATTCATATCTCCCGCAAAACGTTCTTGAGATATTCTTCCGCATGCGTTAACACAATTTTTCTGTACGTGTGCATAGATATTATCAATTATTTTTTACTTATATATATATATTTCTAACGACAAAACATTTTCATATTATTAATTTATGTTATAAACAATAATATTTTATGAGTATTCATTTAAGAAATGAATTTATAACAAGCGATAAGGAATGTTATTTTGCACTCGATAATGTCCGCGTATTTATAGATCGGTAACCAGTCAAACACGAAATCAAAGTAGCCTGGGGTCTTGCCTAATCTTGTCAGCCTTGCGACGCGCAGCTAGATCGGGCCGGGATGCCTGGCTAGAAATTAAAGTTACGTAAGTAGAAATCTCGTCGGCAACAATACATCGGAATGCCCTCACGGTCATCGCGATGTAATAATCTATTATATTCTATTCTATGTAGAGGTATTTGGATTGTATAATATTTTTTCAATATTTTTGCAAGCAGTGACATGTATGCAGTTTGTATTTATTTATTTTTGCAGCTGGTTAAAAAATTTAATGAGCAACTAGAATTTAAGGTTGTACATATCAAAAGGGGCTACCATGGATTGGAGTTACGCAAGTCACGTTGTCTAAATGTTAAACACTATCTAAATAGTATATGCAACAGAAACAAACCTTTCTTGACATATGTTATACTCACGTCTTCGTCCTTTGCTCGTACCATTCATAGCCCTTTTTAAGAGAAACACAGACCGTTTCAGTTCTAAAATCTCTTTCACCATCAATTCCTCCTTGGTCATTGTTTCACCGGTTAACAGAAACATTTCAGTCTCCAAAAAATGAATAGCTTCTGAAAGTTCATTAGTACTTTTATCATCATCGGCATTTGGTGGGTGGGCTCCATATAGATCTCCTGTGACGATTTTAGTATTGGTACCTGAACGCAATGCTCTAAAAAGCTCCCTTATAGTTATTTTGTCACTAGTCCCAGAACAAACGAAGGAAATGACACAAATGCATAATAATAAATGACGTTTCATTTTCATCCTTGGATTTATTTTGGAATCAAACCTCTTATCAGTCACCAACTTGACTTGACCTTAAACGAAGATATGTAGGTGCTATGTTGATAATAAATAGGCCATTAAATACGTATTTGCCGATATCTGTGACCTTAAAACTTTTACAAATCTTATTAAGTAAAACGCAACGTGTTGTACGTTTGATACATGTAAGTATATAAATAAAAGTAGATTGGGAGCATAAATCAATAAACCAATTTGAGAGAAACACCATGACAAAAAATCCTAAAGACATATGATAAGATTGATAATGAAAACGGGGATTGTGTCAAAGAGACAAAAATCCGACCAAAGAGCAGAAAACAGCCCAAGGCCACCAATGGTCTTCAACTATAAGAGATAAAATCCCACCTCCCAGTAGCGGGCTTCAGCTGTCCCTTGAATAAAAATGTGTACCAGTTCAGCGAAAATGGACCGTCACACAAAACTCCGAAGCATATAAATGAACCAAAATTTAAAAAAAAAACATACGGGACTAACGAAGGCCAGAGGCTCCTGACTTGGGACATACTTGTTTATACTTGGATCTGGATGAGTGGTCTCATTTCTGTATTCTTTATTTTTTATGTCATTTTCTTTGTTCAAAAAATATTTTAGCATCCCATTATTCTCTATTTATTTTTTGACGAGTTTTCTCTATTTTTTTATGTCCATTATTCTGTGGTATATGCCCATTATTTTCTATCTGTAAACCCATCCAGACCCTCATATACGTCTTCAACATTGTAGACACGTTTTTATATACAATATGTTTCTACAAACTTTTAATTGCATGGAGTCTAAAAACTTTAATGAAGAAAGATAAGCATGCAAACAATAAATAGATACATGTACTTGTATACAAAGTGAATATACAAGCAGTCTACAAATACACCTTTGAAAGTTTGTTGCATCATTAAAGATCACAAGAACGTTCCGTGGCCTATAATTGCTTATATCAACTTACTTGAACTCTGTATAATGGATTGTTGAACTTGTCTCATCGGCAATCACACTACATCTCCTTAATCTTATATATTGTATATTTACGAAGGATATAATGATGTATATGTAATGTTTGTTGTTGCTGAAAACAATTATTCGTGAGTCGTGAGAATAGAGAAAAATGAACAAGTTAAAACAAACTTAAATGAATCCCCCCCGACAAATCCACTTCCTCATTCGTGTGACTCGATTAAACATCTGACTATTTATCCATTACGGACGAAAGGTACCGGTGTGGTGTGATTAATTGTTTTGTTGTTTCATACGTATACTCTGCTCTATTTACCCTTATCAGTATTAATTCTAGTGATCTATAATAATAATTAGAGTTTTGTTTATAACAAAAAAGGTTCTAACAGTTTTTAAAAATTTGCCGGAAATTATCTAAATTAATATCAATACCGCAACCTGTACAATGCTTACGTAGTAGCGTCCTCGATTAAGAGCTGGAGGTCATGGGTTCGAACCCCGGCAGTGTCAAACCAAAGACATTGTCTTCCTGAGAACTGTTACCTTCTGAATTATCACGTTTTAAATCCGACTCAGCGTGTCGGTCTATTACAAAGCAGGGTTCATATTCATACCTGAATAATATGTTCTCGTCCTGTATTTGCATTTGATTTGCCACTGGACGTCACAAGTTAACAGCTGTCCACCCATCCATCTAATATCATCCTCTTGGTTTTGTTTTGTTTTTTTTAAATAAAATTTACTAAATTATTGAGTGTGTAATTACAGAATTATACATTTCGACCAAGGGAATGGTACCTTTTGAAGTACTTCTAATTACTTGTTTTGCCTTAAAATTAACCACATGATCTATTTCGAAACACATGTATTTATATATAAGAATGGTAAGAAGTAGACTATGTGAAGAAGTCTGAATCCTCCAATCCCATCCCCTGATGTTTGTCATTTATATGGTCAATGTTTCGAACAAAAACCGTTTGAAATTCTTTGAAATCTTTGAAATCAAATTTTAGAAAAATCTTGTTTAATTTTCCATACATGTGTGCACAATTAGTGGCCATAAATGGAAATAATTGCATTCCGTAGCTTTGCAGACTGTCTCAATTAATGAAATATATTTACAAAGTCAGTTCGACATTTTACACTTAAGCAAATAAGAACACTAGTACTTGATCGTGGGTTTTGGGTCCTTAATTCTCTTCGACTTCTTATTTTATTTGACATTTAAACTTTTTTTTATTCGGGCATCACTTGATGATAAGAATTTTTTTTAAGACGAAACACGCGTCTGGCGTACACAATTTTAATCCCGGTATCTTTGATGATTTTATTTACAACCACTTGGTCGATGCCACTGCTGGTGGAGGTTTCCTGCCCTAGGGTATCACCGGCCCAGTAGTCAGCACTTCTGTGTTGACATGAATGATCATTAATATGGCCATAATAAATCAACTGTTTATAAAACATTGAATTTTTCGAAATACTAAGGATTTTCTATCTCAGGGAATAACCATAGATTACTTTAGCTGTATCAGAGATATACACATATATGTCTCTGGCTGTGTTTGACACTGAAACAGTCGTGGCCGCATTTTGGCCCCGGATCATTAGAATGATCTTCAACTTTCTTTTTATTAAGCCTTTTAAACTGTTTTTATTCGAGCGTCACTGATGAGTCTTTTGTAGTTGAAAAAAAAAGTCTGTGATGAGTTCAAGTATTGAACACCAAGCGAAAAGTTAAAACTATGATATTTATTTGGCGTTTTAAAATGAATGTATTAATAGACGTTTAAGAGGGGTAACAATAAGTACGGAAAATACAATATGATGTGAACTCATAAACTGCGGGATTTTTTTTTATCTCAATTTTCCATATATATATATTCGTAAAAATACAGATTCCCTAGGCTATCCGTAATAGTTTCTTTCCACATCCGAATTTGGTTTGTCAGTTACAAAAACGAAAGGTCAAGAAATATGGCGACAACACTTGGAAATCTTGCTGGCAAAGTTGCTTTAATAACCGGTAACAATAACATCTTGGCAACAAATAATGTTAATTTTTTAATTTGTTTTCAAATATTTTAAAACTCTATACCCTGCCCGTCAGTTATATTTATTTTGAAATGACTTTGCAACCAGATATATAATCGTCCAGCTGTATAACAGTATATACATGTATATGCATGCAATATTTGCCACTGGACGTTAACAGGATTGGAAAGATAATCATAAATGGGTATTATTCCCAATTTTGGATATATAACAAAATCAGGTATCAATAAAATTTTTACAGTGATAAAATATAGAATTTTATATTTGATCATAATCATGTGTGATATTACTGATAAACCACATGTGTGTACATGTATAAAATTTATTTGTACCTGCTAGGAATTAATATAAACAGGAGAAAAAACTCTCTGTTTCTAAAGCTTGTCAAATAGCACAAATTCCTTTATAAATCAGTCAAATTCAACTAGTTTTACTGACCGCTAGCCTAGACTTTAAAAAAATGGTTTAACAAACATGTTTTAACTTCTGAACATTTTTTATTTTTTATTTCTTTTGTCCTTTTCTGACCTTTTTTGTCGGTTTTAAAAGCTCTTCCGGTTTTAAAAGCTCTTCAGAGCTTATGTTTGTAATTATTTGCTTATACCGACTCTAAATAAAGCTTTATGTCTTATGTCTTATGTCCTTTTATCATCACTTACTACAATGTATCATGACTATCTAGTAAGGATCTCTTATCAGACTTGTATGTATTGCAACTGGTATATTCTGAAAATTCAGAAATATTTGTCTTGTTTTTATTACATGTATAACAGTCAGGATTCTACTTCGTCAAAATTATCTCCCCATTACGCCACCTGATTTTTATAATCGTAAAAATGGAAGCCATTGTAGTGATGACGTGCTGTCAATTTAGCTCTTGAAAACCAATAAATTTATACACACAGTATCAATACGATCCTTATATCACATGTATATGCCAGTTGTATTGTAAAAGACAAATGTGTCTACTACATGTAGCTGTTGAGCATCATTTAATGTACTTTTATGCATTTGGTCAACTTGAAACTATTGTCTGATCGGTTGTTAGGGTGAATTTTTTGAAAGTTCAGAAATATTTTAAAAATTCTAATTAAATATTTCGTGGAAGGGCAGACTAAAAAATTTCAGATTTTGAAGACTAATTACCCTAGATAACACACACAAAAAATGAAGTTTTTTTGAAGTTATGCATTTTTAAGATCCACCAGAAAAGTTTGTCGTCAAGTACTTTTAGTAAAAAACTTGTTTTTCGAACACGCCTGCTCTGTTGTTATGACTCATTAGAAAGGTATTTCACTTGACCCATATATTTCATCTTTTAGTACTGTACATTTTTAATGTTTTTTGTATCAACCTACAGCCTAAATATATAAAAATAATAGAATGTGAAGCGAGATGATGCAAATTGATGCTTTAAGAAGATAAATCTAGTATTTTTCTTTGGAATTTTTTTCGGCGGAATTTATGCTTATGCACAAAAAAGATCCATGAGAATTGGCACCTACCACAATCGACTGTTTTGTGAAAATTTGTCTTTAATTTAAAAGATTACAAATATCTCGAAGCTCAATTCAATAATTTAAGTAAATACACATACATAAGATGCATAAAATTCTAAATTAGGCACATTCATTTAACTTTTAAAGCCCATAGAAACAGATGTGAACAATTCAAATTTATTAACTTCTCCTTTTTATACGCCCGTCAAAATTTTGATGGGACGTACTATGGTTTAAAAACTATAAATAGTTGTTTCTTATGATGGTCAAACAATCTGTATATTTTTTGGTGAAAATAAGATTAAAACTTTTTGAGTTACCATGGTGTAAAACAGGTGTAAGTTTTTTTTCACATGTCGCGCCGTACGTATCTCAAAAACAATTTATGATTATTGCTTAAAACTTTACACACTTTTTAGTTATATTAATCTTAAGATCTGTATACTTTTTGGTGATGATTCAAAATTTTATTTTTGAGTATTGAGTATTTTTTAAAAAATGGGAAGGGGTTTTTCACATGTCGTGCTGTATCTCAAAAACGATTTATGATTATTGCTTAAAATTTTACACACTTCTTAGTTATATTAATCTAAAGATCTGTATACTTTTTGTTTTGATTCAAAATTTTATTTTAGAGATATTGATTTTTTTTTTTAAAAAAAGGGGGTTTTTCATATGTCGCGCCGTATCTCAAAAACGATTTATGATTATTGCTTAAAATTTTACACACTTCTTAGTTATATTAATCTAAAGATCTGCATACTTTTTGGTTTTCATTCAAAATTTTATTTTAGAGATATTGATTTTTTTGTAAAAAAAAAGGGGGGTTTTCGCATGTCGCGCCGTACATGTCAGAAACTATTTATGATTATTGCATAAAAATTCACACACAAGATGACGGGCGTATCATGCGCTCATGGCGCAGCTGTTTATTTACCTTCTCTAACAAAGAGTACCATTTCTTTTGTTTAATTTCAACTTAGTTTCCGCCTGTATAACAAATATTTGCCTGGATAAGTTTAGCAAAAATGAAAACTACATTATTGAATTTTGATAGCATTATTTGTATGCAGCATTTCCTAAAATTCAATAATTAATTACTGCATTTATATAGATATAAGAAGATGTGGTATGAGTGCCAATGAGACAACTCTCCATCCAAGTCAAAATTTATAAAAGTAAACCATTATAGGTCAATGTACGGTCTTCAACACCGAGCCTTGGCTCACACCGAACAGCAAGCTATAAAGGGCCCCAATAATTACTAGTGTAAAACCATTCAAACGGGAAAACCAACGGTCTAATCTATCATGTCTATATAAAAAACGAGAAACGAGAAACACTTATGAACCACATCAACAAACGACAACAACTGTCCATTGCTCAACAATCAGAATAATAAATGCACACAAGGATTTCTTAATTTAAAGTCATGACAGTATACATGGTATACTTATATAAATAAAAGACATTAAAAGGAGACGTGGGATATATATACACTGTTAGACTCAGGTCGATGTCTGGTCTCTAATCCATGTCTATTCAGTGACGTCACATTCTCAAATCAGTGTCCAATATTTTTACCCTCTAATCAACGTCCAATGTGACATCATATAGATTCCATGGAATCAACTCTAATCGATGTCCAATAAGATAAATCTAATCAATGGGAATTAAACAGAAAAGAAATCCAACAACACAAAAAAATCAAAAACTATAAATATTTATAAATTTTGTGCTTAATTTTATTATATCATTGCATTATAAGGAGCAAGCTCTGGTATAGGTGCAGCTACAGCAGAATTGTTTGCTAAACTTGGTGCCTCGTTAGTATTAACTGGACGTAAAGTGGACAATTTGAAAGCTGTTGGGGAAAAGTGTACCCAGTGTAGTGGGAATACAGTAAGTATTCTTAGAACGACCTTATTTATAACAAAACAATTTAAAAAAAATATATTACTACAGGCTCCTGACTTGGGACAGGCACATAAAAAATGTGACTCAACCAATATGGCAGATATGAACCAAAGACAACAACAGGCTCCTGACTTCGGACAGGCTCATAAAAAATGTGGCGGGATTAAAATCGTTAAACATGTTTGAGAGCCCTCAACCATTCCTTTAATCAGGACAGTAGTGTAACAGCACAACATAAGAAATAACTAAAAATCAGTTGCAATTGACTTTACTCTAAAAATCTATACAAAGCACAAAAACAACTTACATAAAATATATATATATATGCCACATATTTCGTGTTTCACTGAACAAGAAAATGCAAGTGGGAAATGATGTCCTAGGGAGTGTTGATTGATTTGATTTTTGATTTTTGGTGTTTTAACGCCACTTTTAAGCACCGCTTTTGGGCTATTTCGTGGCGGCCAGTTTTTATTGGTGGAGGAAGCCGGAGTACCCAGAGAAAACCATCGACCTTCGATAGGAAAACTGACAATCCTAGTCAATTAAGATTGGAGTCGAGTGCACCCGCACGAGCGGGGTTCGAACTCACAACCTCAGTGTTGACTGGCTAGTGATTACAGTAGTAACTACTTAGACCACTCAGCCACCAAGGCCCCTCCTAGGGAGTGTTGATCACACACATATGTGTTCTTGTTTCTTCTGTTGTAACTTTAAGTTCCAGATCCAAACTGATCTGCCATGAATTTTTATCTGAATGCTAAACTTTTCAAAGCATTTTTGTCGAGCCTGCGACTTTTGTCGCAAAAGCGAGACATAGCAATCCTACATTCCGTCGGCGCCAGCATCGTCAGCGGCTTCCACAAATATTCACTCTGTGGTTAAATTTTTCAAATTTTAATAACTTTCTTAAACTATTCCTAGATTTGTACCACACTTGGACAGAAGCTTGTTTATAATCATAAGATACGGTAGTATCCAGAAGAAAATGTTAAAAAAAAAAAAATCCTGTTTATCCGTATTTTACTCATATATGGACTTAGTTTTTCTGCCAGTTAACATAACATTCACTCCGTGATGTTATAAGTAAAATTTACTGATTTTAAAATTTTTATCACATGAAAAAGTCCACCCCAACCCAGTGCTAAAAATACTTGTATTATTTTTAATTTTAGTTTCTTGTGTACAATTTGGAGTTTAGTATGGCGTTCATTATCACTGAACACTATAATGTTCTTCTCATATATGTTATGATGGTATGATACTAAACCCCTAACGGGAAGGATTGTGCCTGATATTCATATGATGAAGACATAATCTTTCAATCAGTTTAATTGAAGTCTGGAGCTGGCATGTCAGCTAACTGCTAGTAGTCTGTTGTTATTTACCGTATGTATTATTGTCATTTTGTTTATTTTCTTTGGTTACATCTTCTGACATCAGACTCGGACTTCTCTTGAACTGAATTTTAATGTGCGTATTGTTATGCGTTTACTTTTCTACATTGGCTAGAGGTATAGGGGGAGGGTTGAGATCTCATAAACATGTTTAACCCCGCCGCATTTTTGCGCCTGTCCCAAGTCAGGAGCCTCTAGCCTTTGTTAGTCTTGTATTATTTTTAATTTTAGTTTCTTGTGTACAATTTGGAGTTTAGTATGGCGTTCATTATCACTGAACTAGTATATATATTTGTTTAGGGGCCAGCTGAAGGACGCCTCCGGGTGCGGGAATTTCTCCCTGCATTGAAGACCTGTTGGTGGCCTTCTGCTGTTGTCTGTTCTGTGGTCGGGTTGTTGTCTCTTTGACACATTCCCCATTTCCATTCTCAATTTTACTCCGTGGTTAAAGTTTTTCAAATTTTAATAACTTTCTTAAACTATCCTGGATTTGTACCACACTTGGACAGAAGCTTGTTTATGATAAAAAGCTAGTATCTAGAAGGAAGTTTTGTAAAAAAATATTTACGGTTTTTCCGTATATTACTTATAAATGGACTTAGTTTTATTCCAGTTAACATTACGTAAAGTCTGCAGTTAAAGTTTTAAAACATTTATTAGATTCATAAACCTTCTTGGATTTTTACCAAACTTGAACAGAACTTCTTACAATCATACGATAGTATCTAGAGAAAAATTTAATAATTTTTTCCCCATATTTGTTGAGCCTGTGACTAACAGCAAAAGTAGGCGAGACACTGGGTTCCGTGGAACCCTTACGAATTTTTTTTCTATTTAGTATCAATATATATGTTTGCTTAAGCTCTGAAATGAATGAAATTGATTTATAATTACTTTATATAGCACAATGATGATGTTCATGTTTTTTCAGCCATTACTGATACCGGGCGATTTAAGCAAGGAAGATGACACCAAGAATTTAGTGAAGATAACAATAGAGCATTACAAGAGGCTAAATGTACTGGTATGTTGTAAAAAATATCACAAGCAGGACAAGATAAGAAATCATATATTCTAGATTCATTTATTTTTCGTGGATTGAAGAAAAATCATATTTTCGTGGAAACTTGATTTCCTGGATTTGCCTATATAGCTATGTTTCCATACTAGCCTATAGGAAATTAATACTTGTTTTAACATTTAAAGTTGGGGTTTTCTTCTACCAATGAAATCCATTAAAAATTGGTATCAAACGAATAATAATAAATCTACAGTGTACAATTTTCTAAAACCTTAATGGCAGTCAAAACAGTTTCAATGGAGATAGCTGTGAATGTGCAAATATATTTTCATGACCTCACCTGGCCCAAAGGGCCAAGTGAGCTTTTCTCATCTCTTGGCCTCCAACTTCTTTGTCATTGATGTAAGTTAACTTCTACAAAAATCTTCTATGAAACTACTGGACTAAACTTAGCCACAATTATTGTTGGGGTTTCTAGTTTAAAAAAATGTGTCCAATGACACCCGCCTGCCAACCAAGATGGCTAACATGCATGGCTTAAGGTAGCACAATACAAAGATTTTATACCTCCAACTCCCCAGTTTTAAAATGCTGTAACTTTCTTTATAATGCTTGAAAATTTATATAAAAGTGGTATTTATGGATAGCTAATTAACAGATTACTCTTTCAAATTAATGCAATGTTAGTATTATACAACAACTATGCAATTAATTATAATTTTAACTGTGTCTACAAAATTTTACAAGAAATTTCCACTTTCAATTGAAATTAGCTTCTTCATGGATACCCCGAGAGGGTTGATTTTATAATATGTTGTTCCTAGAGCCATTATCTACAAAAGGGTATCTCAGATTTTGGATAGAATGTATAGATCAAATTTTACACCTAATCAAATAATCTCTACTTTTATGTGGTAAGGATGTTTACACTAATTACAGATTTATGAGAGAATGGAATACGATAGCGATAATTTGAGACACCCTTTTGTAGCTCCTGCTGTGTTGATTAAGATAACGTTAAAATTTCTTGTGTAGTTATAGAGATGTCAGAGCTAAATTCATTCAAGTGAACTGACCAAGATTTTGCCATTAATTGCATAATAATTGATTACATAATGATTGCATAGCAAAAATATTTCATTCATTTAAAAGATTAATCTTTTATCTATCTATATATACCTCTTTTATTAATTTGTATGCAGTCATAAGAAAGTAACATTATTTTAATGGTTGGAGATTGGAAGTAAAAAAATCTTTGTATTGTGCTACCTTAAGATAGAACATAGGCGTAAATTGCAAGTTTTGTCTATTATTTTGAAAACCACTATAAATAGAAAAAATCTGACGGGAGCAAAAATGTTCAAAATGTTATATAATTAAGCTCTACCTACTGTTTTCTTACATCAAAACTGCCAGATTACTTTTTATTGAAGTTTTTTTACCTTAAATGGCAAATTTTATCATTTTTTTCATTTTTGCCTACAACATGCATATTCTTGTAAAATATAATATATAGAGAAAAACTTCAACAAGACAAGATCTACAATAATTGTATACAGCTGAAATTGTCAGACTCCTTATTAGAGTTATTACCCATTAATGATGAACTGATGAATTTTACCATTTTTTTGTATTTTTGCCTATTATCTTGTGAACTATTATAGATAGTGAGACACCATTAATAGCAAAAATGATCAACAAGACAAGATCCACAAATGAGTGTAATGGCCGAATTCTTCAGTCAACCCTTTATTGGAGTAGTTGCTCTTTAATGATGATTTTTATCAATTTTTAGTGTTTTTGCCAATTATCTTGAAAACAATAGTGTATGTAGATAGAAACTTTTAAACAACAAAAACTATCAGCAATAGATTCTACAACAAGTCAAAGTTTGCTAAAATAGTAAGTAGACTTTTTATAGGAGTGGTTGCCCTTAAATGATGATTTGTTAATACCCTCTTTTGTGCTTTGCCAAGGCAAAAATAAAGTAGACAGAGAGAAACTATAAACAGAAAAAAATGATCAGCAATACAAACCAACAAAAAAGAGATTTTTGTTATGAATTCTATTCTAGTCTACAATGTAAGAGATCGTCAGTTGTTGAAGATGCACAAGACATTGGAGAACAGCATAGGCTTATTAGAGCCTTTAGTTTTCCATTTGCTACCAGTTTTGTATAAATGATTATGTCATTAAGCTGCAGAGTATAATTATAAGACTAAAAATCAGAAAAATAGTGTTAGCAAAAATTTAACAATCAATTGTTAATTGATTAATAGAGAATTGTTTTCTTTACAATTTTATGCCACATTTTTAGCACTGGGTTGGGGCGACTTTTCCATGTGATAAAAATTGATTTTCTTTTAAAAAATAAATCATGTTAATGTATAAAAATACCATATGGAAACATATTTCAAGGCCATTTCAGAGTTCCTTTGTAAAAAAAGGCATGTTAACATACTTTTTATATATTTATTTCAAAATGCACAATAGAGACCAATTAATTCATATAAAAATTCAAGAAAAAGGAAAATAACCAATGACCTAGTGAAACTGTACAATAAAGGTTGTCAAATTTAATTTTTTGGGATGTACATGATGTATTACTAATCAACGAACAGTGCTGCTGACATGTCATTTCACGTATTTATAGAGCACATTTAGCAGAGCTTAAAAATCGACTGTATTTTTAGTTTATAGCCAAAATTTACAGTTTTTCGAAATATTAACAGAATTAATTGTATGGGGATGGTTGGGATGGGGTAGGCACTTCTGTTAATATTTTATGGGCTGTGGCTACTTTAGAAAGATAGTTTGAACATTTATGAAATTATCAATTAGAATTTAATGCATGATGGGGTAAAATAATAATTATCATACTTCTTGTCAAAATGCCAGATTTTGATTGGTTAAAATTGGTTGTGGAGACAATTAATTCTATTCCATGGCAAATACTCTATTACCAATCACGGAGATGCTTAATGGTCAAATGTGCGCTTTATTGAATATGGATGGTTAATTGTTATGTACAAGACATCATGGTTTATTACTCTCTAATTTGAAACTAATTAGACTATAATAACAGAACATTCAGTATAATAAATGAAATTACTCATATCTGAGAGGGTGATAGAGCCTCAGTTGACAATGTTTTTCTCAGGGTAACAATCTGCTCCATCACCCTCTCAGCTATGTGTAATTTATATAGTAACCTCTGTCACTCTTTCTTCTTCAATACATTTTATTTCTGGAATAGCCGTGCAATAACAAAGTGGTTTTTTTTCTTTAGGTAAACTGTGCAGGTATCATAGAGCTAGGAAGTATAGAAAATACAAGTTTAGAACAATTTGATCGGATGTTCAATATCAATGTTAGGTAAGAAGTATAGAAAATACAAGTTTAGAACAGTTTGATAAGATGTTTAATATCAATGTTAGGTAAGTTTGGCATAAAAGTGTATCTTTATGTGTACCTCAGTGGCAGATCCAGAGGAAGGGATCCCCTTTTTTTTGGACGATCAATGCATTTGAATGGGAACCCCTTTCTCCTGGGTTGGAACCCCCCCCCCCCTTTAAAAAATTGCTAGACCTTTATATACAACTGACCTTAAAAGAGAGGTGATTTTTGTATGAAGTTCAAATGCATAGATATAACTACAGTGGTATAAGAAGAGGATTACCAGACAAGACAGAATTTTTTTTTGATTAATAGAGTTTTATAGTGTGTCTTTCTATGTTGTGATGTTACACTATTGTTTCAGAAAAAGGGTGAAGGTTTGGTACCATTAAAACGTTAAACCCGCTGCATTTGTTTGCACCTGTCCTAAGTCAGGAATCTGATGTTCAGTAGTTGTTGTTTGTTGATGTGGTTCATAAGTGTTTCTCGTTTCTCGTTTTTTATATAGATTAGACCGTTGGTTTTCCCGTTTGAATGGTTTTACACTAGTAATTTTTTGGGGCCCTTTATAGCTTACTGTTCGGTGTGAGCCAAGGCTCTGTGTTGAAGACCGTACTTTGACCTATAATGGTTTACTTTTATAAATTTTGACTAATGGAGAGTGGTCTCATTGGCACTCATACCACATCTTCTTATATCTATTTTCACTGTATATGTAAGATAGGTTTTATGAAAAAAAACTATGTAGGATTCAATGAGACAACAACCAAACAACACAATGAAGGAATATAGAGATGATACCTATTTCCATTCACATTACATATTTCTGGAATAGCCCTATTCTGGTTTGGTCAATACAGAAACTTATGGATGTCATTAAATAAAACATACATTTTATTTGTTGTTTATCAAATAAGGTGGGAGGGGGGGGGGGGGGGGGGGGGCAGCTGCCAAACAGTGTCCATCAATAACTTAAAATGCTTTGACGAAATCTTTTCCAATTTAGATATATGTTGTTTCCTGTGACAAATTAAAATGAAGGTCAAGTTCAATTTTCATGATTTTAGCTTTTATCGCTGTTGAGTTGTCGACCTTTAAGTAACAAAAAGTGATATTTAGATTGATTTTGACCTTTCCATTTTTGAACCCTACAAAAATTTATTTATTTTTTTTTACTTTAGGTTGTCCAGATTTGCAAATAACATTTTCATGCAGGAAAATCTGGTTTACTGTGACAACCTCTTGATTTTATATTTTAGATCAATATATCATCTAACCATGTTAGCAGTCCCACACCTTGTAGACACCAAAGGAACTATTGTCAATGTTTCCAGTGTAAATGGCATGAGATCAGTAAGTGTTAATAGTCTTCATCATGAATTTGTTTCAGTTAATTAAAAATAGATCTTGTTGGAGATATTCAAAGTGAAAGCTGGTTATTCAATCTGAAATATCCATTGTATTTACAAATTCATGCATGTAAGTATCAGAAAATTGCTGGGCTTCAGAATTTGACAATTTGAGTCTGTATATATGTATTCCTTTAAAAAATATTTTACTTTTTCTGATTTCCAAATGTTGGCATGCTCTGTACCTTCACCCGTGCAAAGTTGATATACCACAGGATCTTAAATCATTTTCAATCTCCAGCAGTCATAGTATTTTTTCTTTATAAAATGTTTCTCCATAGTCTTCATTGAAAGAGATAGATATAGAATATAATACATTGTCTTTACTTGTCAGTTTTCTGCATAAGCATGCAAATAATCATAATCTACTGTTTTTTTCCTTTCAGTTCCCTAATGTTCTTTCATACTGTATGTCTAAGAGTGCTCTAGACCAGTTTACAAGATGTACAGCATTAGGTTTGTATTCATTATACAGGACAAATTTATTCTATATACTGTGGAATTATTTATTTTCGTGGGTACCAATTTTCGTGGATTGAGGAAAAATTGTACTTTAGTTGATATTTGATTTCATGCTGTTGCCGGGGGCCTTGGTGGCAGAGTGGTCTAAGTAGTTACTACTGTAATCACTAGCCAGTCAACACTGAGGTTGTGAGTTCGAACCCCGCTCGTGCTGGTGCACTCCACTCCAATCTTAATTGACTAGGATTGTCAGTTTTCCTATCGAAGGTCGTGGTTTTCTCCGGGCACTCTGGCTTCCTCCACCAATAAAAAATGGCCGCCATGAAATAGCCTAAAAGCAGTGCTTAAAAGTGGCGTTAAAACACCAAAAATCAAAATCAAATCATGCTGTTGCCAAAGTCTGCATACAAACTTTTTGAAAGTTTGTACTTTGTTGAACATTTAAATTCATAGTTCACCTCAATCCACAAAATCCACAAAAGTTAATATCCCACGAATAATTATGAATCCACAGTATGTGTTTTTAGTTTAAGTGTTTCAGACAGTTTACTAATTCTTTTAAATAGAAGTAGTGCTTTTGACTAGTTTATCTAGATATACAATGTTAGGGTTCCATGATTTCAATGATTTTCAGCTTTAGATTGGCAGCATTATTTTTGTATTCAATGCTTTTGAAAAGTTTACTGGGCATTCATCATGATCAATAGGATTAATTTGCATATTCTAATGTATTCTGGGTACAATGTTTTCTAAAGCATACACCAAAATGTTGTTTTTGATTAATAAAGTCCACAGCAATGGAAATTCAACAAATAGCGTAATCCTTTATTTTTAAAACAGCAAATTACTTGTGTAAACTCTTGGAACTTAAGCCAAGGGCTTAAGAACCATAGCTTTAGAAAGGTAAAATCGACATCACTTTAACAGAATTTAATCTTTGTTATCTGGTCAAATATAGTGCATTTGGTTTTTTACTTTTATGAATTAAAGATGGCATTGAGTACACGTCAAAGAGACAGCAAAGCAACAATACAAACTATCAGACAACTTTATTTACTTCTTGTTTTGTTTCAGTCTTATTTGTAAAGTTTACCCATAGTTATGAGATTAAAAGTTGTGAAAATAAAATTGTATTTGAATGAAAGATAAGGAATTGTTCGTGTTTATACATATATTTGAACTTTAGTAGATATTTGAATAAACCAACTGGCGAAGCAGACAGAAAATTGTTATCACATAAACAAAGATATAATAAATTGAAACTTTCAATTTGAAAGCACAAATTTATAGCATACAGATTTTTTTCAGCTATTAAGTCTTTATTATTATTTATCAATGAAAATTTTCACTCTATATAGAAAAATTTGCATCAGATTAGCTCTTTTTTTACTGCTTTTGTAAGAGTGTTTTACTCACAAGTTTAATCTATATTTTAGCTTATATTTATGAAAGAATGAGTGTTGGAAACTATGGCTCAAATTTTAATTTAAATATTTTTATGAATACAAATTTATTTCAAAACAAAACCTCAATGATTGCATATTTGCTCCTTTTTTCAGAGCTGGCTCCTAAACAAGTCAGAGTAAACAGTGTAAAGTGAGTATTTTAAATATACTGCCATTGGATGAAGGTGTTAGGGTAGATTAACACATGAGGGAAAAAATTATCACCCAAGACGAGTAGCGGGTGATAATTTTTTCATTGAGTGTGTTAATCACCCTAACACCTTCATCCTAGGGCAGTATGTTTTTTTATTATACTGAATGCCTTATGATTTAAGTGTGCACAATGTTATTAGAAGGACAATTGTAAAAAAATAAATTTATTAAAGATAGTTCACTAATAACAACAAAAAAATGACGGAAATGATGTAGAAATAAGAATCAGTAAACCTTGGCCTTGGCGGGTGTTAATTGTTCCGAATCGTCAAACTTCGGGCTCAGGCGGGTGTTAATTTTAGGCATAAACACCTGTTGCTAATACTATTACATGTTGCTATGGGTGGGGTGGGGCTTGTGAAAGATTAGTGAAAATTAACAAATGATGCGTGTCCAATGAAATGCAAGGATAATATAATAAATTTGCATAAAGTATAATAAAATATTTTATCAGATGAAACCCCAACAATCTGCAAAGGGATAGTATTTGTATTGGTGTTTGTGAAAATATATAAAGGTACAAGTGTTTAGTTGTCATAAGTTGTTCCAGTTACATATGAGATTAATGTATTTAGAAATTACTGTAATATTTTTTCTGACTATGAAGAAATAACATCAAAATGTGGTGTAATATGTATTTTTAATGATATCTTGGGGGGAATTTTCATCCTTGACTACAACAGAACATTTTGGGAAGCCCTGCTAAACTTTTTATTTGAATAGTTTTTAAAAAGGTTTTTGAGTTATTATGGTTGAAAATGAAAACTTGCTATATTTACCAGAAACACAAGAGCACATTTGATCAAATCGATCCTTTAAAATCGACCCTTTAAAATTGATGAATGCAAGCTGAAATCTTACCATGTGACCTGAAATTTTTTGCACACAGCTTCTAGGCTGTCTTCCATCCTCTGAGCATACCAAATTGTGGTTATTATGAAATCACAAGTCCTGCTCTGACATAGAAATTATCATCAGAGTTTTATTTATATAATTTGTTGTCGGATTTTAATTTTTAATATGAAATATTATATTGATAAAGTTAAGAATATCTTGCTTTCTTCTGGTTTTTTTTATGAAAAATCTACCGGTATGCTAAACTTTCACAAAAATATTTGTATTTCAGTCCAGGGGTAACGGTAACAGAACTTCAGAAGCGTGGGGGTCTAGATGAGGAAGCTTATGCAAAGGTAAGTGATTCAAATTACTTAGTTTGAAAAAAGTAAAATAACAAAAATACTGAACTCCGAGGAAAATTCAAAAAGGAAAGTCCCCAATCAAATGGCAAAATCAAAAAACCAAACACATCAAACGAATGGATAACAACTGTCATATTCCTGACTTGGTACAGGCATTTTCTTATGTAGAAAATGGTGGATTGAACCTGGTTTTATAGCTAGCTAAACCTCTCACTTGTATGACAGTCGCATCAAATTCCATTATATTGACAACAATGCGTGAACAAAACAAACAGACACAACAGGTAAAAATGTAAAAAATAAGGGTACAGCAGTCAACATTGTGTTATCATCTTAATCACTATAAAAACAAACAAATGTAACAAAGAAGCACAAAAAGGCATACATCAAATTTAACATCCTCATTTTGCTTATATTATACGATTTTATTTATCTATGTAAAATCCACCCATAAAGGATGGAAGGTTTAAAGTACTGGCGTAAAATCGCGCGTTTGTATTCGCACAGGTAGACATAAAATAGTTTTGTCGTTCAAAGTATGACGGGATACATAAATACAGAGTCACGTAAAATATACTTTTATTATATATTAAATATAATATATATTAAATTCCAGTTATTACTGCAAATTCATAACTTGTTTGTATACGTACATTGATTATTGGCATTCTTGAACAATGTGTAAAAATGCGAGATTAATTATTGCAATTGCAGGAAATAATGCCTACAAATAATGCTATCAAAATTAAAAATATGAGTTCTTATTTAGGCAAAACCCATCTTGTCGCAATTTTTCACAACAAAAAAGACATTGCAAAAATTTCTGAATTTTCAGCAACTCTTTATAACAGAAAATACATGTAGCCATAACAAAACATTACTGTAGCATGTCAAAATTGTATGATTTTAAATATCAATATGGTAGAAATCCAGTGGCAAATATTACATGCATTGTCAGGAGGATAACATGTTACTGTCTTTACGTGATATAAAAAAACTCTGCTTTGTACATATCCTACATCCTGGATAATATTTTAACATGCTATCCTATAAGAGCAGTACACAGTAAGACATATCATTCTATTTAAACAATCAATCAAATTCTAGCACAGAAACAAAATTGTACAAATTTATCATCAAATGAAAATATGACCGTAGCACTTTATAAATTTTGTGCTTCCAAAGCGCTTTTCTTGATTTACCTCAATAAGGATGCTCAAACCTAAACAATTGAAAAACAGAGGGATGTGTAATTACGTAGAAATGACCAAAAGGGACCCCAAAAAATAGCCAATTTCATCTACATTCATCTTTGAGGGAACTGGAGCATTAGTTAAACCACATGAAACTAAAACAAAATTATCATGTGAGTCTTATGTTTCATTAGAACCACCAAAAGCAGTTTATTTAATTATTTTTAGAAAATAAAATATTTACCTGTAAAAGTAAGAATTAATAATTTTATCTGGTTTTCTCCATTCACATTCTGAAAATTCTTCTACCCATAATTCAGTAGTCAGATTCAATATTTTGTTATACTTATAGTCTCACCACATACAGTCAGGGGTATTACTTTTACAAGTAAATTTTTTTTACTTGAAGAAGTATATATTAATATACTTATATAAGTAAATTTGTAGGATACTTATATAAGTAAATTTGTAGGATACTTATACAAGTGTATTTTATTTACTTGTATAGGTAAATAATTTTTTGGCTAAGTTATGTCACTTATAGACATTCAGATTTTTTTTACTTATACAAGTAAAAAAGTCATCCTATCTTCTTTTCTTGATTTCTTTGGACTTCTTTGCTCTAATATAATTTTTAATTGTCTTTCCTTTGCAGATGTCTTTAAATCATTTAAGTGTAATTTCATGGACAATGAAAATCTCGTTTGTCTGTTATCTTCAGAACACTGCTCATTTACAAGCCCCCAAGGGGCAATTTTTGAAGGCCTTGCGCAAATACTTAAGATCTTTGCGCAATCAGTTTCTTGATTGAATTAATGAGATGAAACATTGAACTCTAATAAAAAATTATGAGCTAACCTGAGAAAAATTGTTAAAGGCATGTTTTTATATCTCATAACTTGAGAATTTTTGTGGGATTGTAAAAAAAAATTACTTATACAAGTAAATTTTTGAGAAAATTAAGAGGAGATTATTCAAACATTATAATTAACTTATATAAGTAATTATTATTTACTCCTTAAAGTAAATAAAGATTACTTGTACAAGTAGTACCCCTGACTGACATACAATTACAAATATTTATACAATAAAATATTCATACAGGTACAAAAACAGAAAACAAGCAACATTACCTTAACATTTTATGTGCCAATCTTAAGAGATTTATGAGAGACTGTACAAGCAATATTAAGATACAGTTTGATAATGTACATATTATATATTTGTTTAAGAATATCATTAAAATACAGCATAATTAATGATATAAAAAAAACATTTCTTCTGATTAAAATTAATTATTTATTTTGTAAAAATATTTCCTTTCTCTATTGGTACTGTATACGTATACCTAACAACAAAATTATTTTCATTTACCTGTGTTTAAAGTTATTGCAAACGGCTGATATTTTTGTTCGAGCAGATTGTTTTTCTTTAATTGTTTAACATTTCATACCGATATAACATGTTACTTTTATTATTCTTCCCTTAGTTTATTTATTTTGTATTTACATTGTATCATAGGTCAAATTTATTTGTTCAGTGTATGTTCAATGGTGTTAATATGTCCTTTGATTGAGTTAAGCTATTTCAGTTGATATTTTATAGTGTGTCTTTCTATGTTGTGATGTTACATTATTGTTTCAGAAAAAGGGTGACGGTTTGGTACCATTAAAACGTTTAAACCCGCTGCATTTGTTTGCACCTGTCCTAAGTCAGGAATCTGATGTTCAGTAGTTGTCGTTTGTTGATGTGGTTCATAAGTGTTTCTCGTTTCTCGTTTTTTATATAGATTAGACCGTTGGTTTTCCCGTTTGAATGGTTTTACACTAGTAATTTTGGGGGCCCTTTATAGCTTACTGTTCGGTGTGAGCCAAGGCTCTGTGTTGAAGACCGTACTGTGACCTATAATGCTTTACTTTTATAAATTTTGACTTGGATGGAGAGTTGTCTCATTGGCACTCATACCACATCTTCTTATATCTATATAGCAGCTTCTGTTTTGTATAGGAAGTTCAGCACAAACATTTTGTCCAAAGTTTTATGGAAATTTCAAAGGAATCTGAAGTTATGTTGCCATATAACTTGACCTCAATATTTATTATTGACAATTTTCTACAAAATATCATTGTATAACATAAAATTTGGCGTCTTTTATGGTGATTGAAAGTTGAGGAGAAATATGATAGTTGGTGAATAATTAATCCTTACATTTGTTAAAGACATACCAAATGCAAGTTATTTTCACACTTGTAATTTTTTTTCAGTTCCTGGAGAGATCTAAGGAGACTCATGCTTTAGGTCGCCCAGGACAACCAGATGAAGTGGCAAAAGCTATTGCCTTCTTAGCCTCAGACGATTCTTCCTTCATTACTGGAGCATGTGTACCTGTTGACGGGGGAAGACATGCAATGTGTCCAAGATAAGATATTCGGTCAATGATGTTTGACCGTGTCTGTGATTTCGTGCTCTCTTTATGGGGTGAATTATACATGACCACTCTGTGACATTTTGAAAGAAAATTTCCAATAGGCCACACCAAATTGATTTATTTGTTGTTGACTTTCTCAACATTAATACTTACAATACTGAATCACCATCTTTATTGATAAAAAAAGTCACTTTCATGGTTAATTGCAATTTTTTGATAGTTTTAGAATAAGTTCACTAAATGTTTGGCAATATAAAAGTGATATTAAAAGTTTAAGACTACCTACATGTTTTTTTGTCTTACAGAAAATTTGTTTAAGTATGACCCTATACTTTTGAGGAATTTCATATTATTTTAGTTTTTTTTATTAAAATTGGAATATGTATATATTTGTTTTAAATCTTTGTATTTTTAAATAAGTCACAAGTATGTAACATTAATGTATCATGTGGATTCAATATTTACAGTGATGGTTTGAAAAAGAGCATCATAAAGCATTTTATTTTGCAGTTTCTGCGTTTTTTTTAATTATTGCAACTACACGTATAATTGAATATATGTTGACATATGGGTCATTTTCAAAAAATGTTGAATTTTGAAATTTCAAAATTGATTAAAAGTTACTAATTCAAACAACCCTCGTCATAAGCAAATCAAAACAAACAGTACTTGTGGAACAACATATAAAAAGATGCAATCTTGATAATGTCATACAAGAATGTATTGAAACATGTTTTGATAGGTGGTGCAATATTTTGTCTCTCCTGTTACCATGTTCAAAAGAAATTTGGGGTGATTTAGAAAAGGTTTCAATAACATTTTAAGCTTGTTTTTCATAGCCAATAAAATGGTTTTCAAGAGTAAAAATTTCTATATATTTTCATTCTGTGAAAAGATAGATTATTTTTCAATTTTCTATTTGTACTGAAAAATGCCTTCAAAAAATTGGTTTTCAAAGGTTATAAAAATAACCAACAGTGATGCAAGTCTAAGATAGCAATCCATAATGTTCAGAATTTTTTTTCTCTTTCTAATAAACCCAACATCAAGTAATTCCCTCCCAAGTTGGTTTACTTTTGTCTTTATTTTATTGGTAACAGGAACGTACGTTAATGATATATCATCATATTAGGTTCTATCCTTTACCCTTTTTGTCTATCCTGTTACCGATAGCAGTATTGCATCTGCAAATGCTACGTTATGAAGGTTAAGACGTTATAACCTTTGAATGAGTGAGTTCAAACAACGAAACATTTCATTATGTGTACAAAACTATATGTAATTATAAACTTTTAAAAGACGTTTCTGTCAAATATTGTCTATCCTGTTACTGTAACCATAGTAACAGGATAGACAAATTTCTTCATTTATGAATGCTGTTGTGAAATAACTACTCCCTTTGGTGAAGTGATAATGTTTTTCTGTTGTGATTTTGGTTTCCAACACGTTATTGCACTTTTTACAAGTATAATATTGGTGTAATTAATAGATATGTTGGTAACAGCATAGACATGATAAAAGGGTACCCACTAATTTTTTTCACTAAATGTCCTGAAATTTCTTTTCTCTATACTGCTAAGCAAGAAACTTGCTGTGTTAAATATTTTTGTTTCTTTGCGCTTTTGAAATCAGCACTGACTAGTTTAATATTCATAGGGAACAATTTAACGGTTGATTTATGTAGCTGTAACAGGATGGACATGAACTTCATGTACGCTGATTGAATTTAGTTTTGTAGAAAAAAATGTTACATAGAATAATAAAGAAGCTGCGATTTTCGTTAGAGTTATTATTAACATTCTAAAAAAGTCCCTTTTGCAGATATCAACGCAAACAGAAAATATGAAAAAAATCATTTGAAATGTGTTATGTTGACACTGTACGCACATAAATTACGCACAAATTGGTCTTAGATATATTTTAATCTTATCAATATAGATCTAAATCGTGTTTATTATTGATGTTCTGAATCATAAATTCTACAAACTTTCATTCAAACACTTACAACTGCATTTTCCTTCAGAAATAAAAAAATTAGCATAGGTGTACTGAAAATTCGACATTTTTTTTAAATGACCCATATACTAAATGGTATGATAAAGATCAAAGGACAGATTCAGAATAAGAATTATTGTATCTATTAATCATGTTAATCTTTATTCAGGATAAAAGAAATTTGTGATTTAAAGAAAATAATTTAAATATATTTTTAAAAAGTGTGAAATCTTGTTCTCAGTTTTTTTATTTGTAATTTGTTTTATCAGTTGTCAGTCATCAGTTGTTGTCTTCATCAGTCATCAGTCGTTGTCCTCAGCAGTCATCAGATCAGTCATCCGTTGTGTCCTCATTAGTTGTCAGATCAGTCACCAGTCGTTGTCCTCAGCAGTCATCAGTTGTTGTCCTCATCAGTCATCAGTCATTGTCCCCAGCAGTCATCTGTTGTTGTCCTCATCAGTCATCAGTCGTTGTCCTCAGCACCCATCACATCAGTCATCAGTTGGCCTCATCAGTTGTCAAATCAGTCATCAGTTGTTGTCCTCATCAGTTGTCAGATCAGTCATCAGTTGTTGTCCTCATCAGTCATCAGTTGTTGTCCTCATGTTGTCAGATCAGTCATCAGTTGTTGTCCTCACAAGTTGTCAAATCAGTCACCAGTTGTTGTCCTCATCAGTTGTCAGATCAGTCATCAGTTGTTGTCCTCATCAGTTTTCAGATCGGTCATCAGTTGTTGTTTTCATCAGTTGTCAGATCAGTCATCAGTTGTTGTCCTCATCAGTTTTCAGATCAGTCATCAGTTGTTGTTTTCATCAGTTGTCAGATCAGTCATTAGTTGTTGTCCTCTTACTTTACGAGTTTTTCAATATTATCACTAAAACTGTCATAGGTAGAAACTGAAAACAGCAAAAAATATCAGCTATTCAAGATCTACAAAAATGCAAAGATGACCAAAACCGTAGGATGATCCTCCATAGGAGTTTTTGCCCTTACATGACGATTTGGTTTTACCAAATTTTAGATTTTGCCGATTATGTTGAAAAACATAATATCTACATATAAGTAGAAATTGTAAACAGCAAAAATTATCAACAATATGACCAAAACCATTGGATGACCCCTTATAGTAGTTTTTGCCCTTAAATCACAATATTTTACTAATTTTTGCCACCTATAAATCAAAAACTATAACAGGTAGGCAGAAACTGAGACAAGCAAACATTATAAGCAAAACAAGATCTACAAAAATGTCAATATGACCAAATCCATTGGAAGACTGTCTATGAGTTATTGCCCTTCATTGATGATTTTTAACTTATTTTATAGTTTTTGCCTATTATTTGAATTTTTGACAGGTGAGCAATCCAAGCTCTTAGAAGCCTCATGTTTAGTAGATCATAATTATCTTTGAAGATGTTGCACCTATTATATCAAAATAATCGATATGACAACATACTCTTCGTCTTATACCTTTTAGGGGCCTCGGTGGCCGAGTGGTCTTAGTAGTCGAACTCAGGCTGTATCACTAGCCTGTCAATACTGAGGTTGCGAGTTCGAATCCCGCACGTGGCAGATGCGCTCTACTCCAATCTTGATTGACTAGGATTGTTAGTTTTCCTACCGAAGGTCGGTGGTTCTCTCAGGGCACTCCGGCTTCCTCCGCCAATATAAACTGACCGCCAGATAATAACACAATAGTGCCGAAATTTGCGTTAAACACCAATCAATCAATCAATCATATACTTTTGTATCTTCTTGCGGTGAATTCAGTAATGTATCTAATCATACATAGCACGGATTCCTTGTCCGGGTTAAGGTTTTTTATCTTTTTTTTTGCGTTATTAACTCTTCAACGTTTGTAATAGGTTTAGGATTGTTTGGCCTTGAACCTCACTAAAGAGACGTCGTAATGCGCATCATCAGGTAGTACTTCGGTATTGGCATGGACAAACGGATAATGTTTTTATTAAAATTCGCTGTTATAAATATTTGGAATTCATTTGAGATAAAAAATAATTTTTTTGCTCATGCCTTTTACCCATTCATTGTCCGAGTTTAGCTTTAGTTTTGGTCCTTCTATCAGCTCTTCAAAATTTGTATTAAATTTAGCATTTTCAAACATTTTGGCCCAAGATTCATTGCGAAGAAAGTGATAGTCGAAATGGGCTTATGATTACAAACTGACTTTTTAATGTTTCCGACAATGAATATTGAATATTCTCGACACTGAAAAAAGGCAGTAGAATCAGAATTTAAAAAAAAAAAAAAAAAAAACGCGTTGAAAACAATTGTACACACACCTTGAGTAATTCGTAATCTACAAAAATAGCAATATTATCATACTTTACACATTTTATCTTGTGAGACAATTATTTACTCAGAGGGTGTATTGAATTATTTTTAAACGTTATGAAAAAATTGCTGAATCCAAAGCAAAAGTGATAGCCAATATTGCGTTGAGCATTATTCAAAATTTAGACAAAGAAAAGTATTTTGACAATACGAAATTTTGATACATGAATAAAACATCTCTAAAATTAGTTAATAAGTAGTAGTTGAGTGAACAAGCCAACGAACTTTCAATTTTAATGGACCACCTTTCCTTCAGGCTAAATCCTGACTTAGACTGTATCACTAGCCTGTCAACAATAAGGTTGTGAGTTCGAATCCCGCACGTGGCAGATGCGCTCTACTCCCATCTTAATTGACTAGGATTGTTAGTTTTCCTACCGAAGGTCGGTGGTACTCTCAGGGCACTCCGGCTTCCTCCGCCAATATAAACTGACCGTCAGGAAATAACACAATAGTGCTGAAATTTGCGTTAAACACCAATCAATCATATACATTTGTATCTTCTTGCTGTGAATTCAGGAATGTATCTAATCATACATAGCACGGATTCCTTGCCCCTGTTAAGGTTTTATGTCTTTTTTTTTTGCGTTATTAACTCTTCAACGTTTGTAAAAGGTTTAGATTGTTTGGCCTTGAACCTCACTAAAGAGACTCTAATTGTCGTAATGCGCATCATCAGGTAGTACTTCGGTATTGGCATGGATAAACGGATAAATTAATGTTTTTATTAAAATTCGCTGTTATTAATATTTCGAATTCATTTGAGATAAAAAAAATAAATATTTTGCTCATGCCTTTTACCGATTCATTGTCCGAGTTTAGCTTTACCTTTGGTCCTTCTATCAGCTCTTCAAAATTTGTATTAAATTTAGCGTTTTCAAACATTTTGGCCCAAGATTCATTGCGGAGAAAGTGGTAGTCGAAATGGGCTTATGATTACGAACTGACTTTTTAATGTTTCCGACAATGAATATTGAATATTCTCGACACTGTAAGAACGCAGTAGATAAAAATTAAAAAAAAAAACGCGTTGAAAACAATTATACACACAAACCTTGAGTAATTCGTAATCTACAAAAATAGCAATATTATCATACTTTACACATTTTATCTTGTTAGACAATTATTTACTCGAAGGGTGTATTGAATTATTTTTAAACGTTATGAAAAAATTGCTGAATCCAAAGTAAAAGTGATAGCCAATATTGCGTTGAGCATTATTCAGAATTTAGACAAAGAAAAGTATTTTGACAATACGAAATTTTGATACATGAATAAAGCATCTCTAAAATTAGTTAATAAGTAAGTAGTTGAGTGAACAAGCCAACGAACTTTCAATTTCAATGGACCACCTTTCCTTCAGGCTAAATCCTGACTTTTCGTTTAGAGAAATGTTAAACTTTTTTGCCTGGTCGTAGAATAGCAAAATGGTACATTTTTTTAAAATTTGAGGTCAAGGTTCAATAGTTAAGTTTTTCATAAGTGTTAATTTATTTTACAAGGGAGGGGTTATAAAAAGTCTGAAAATATTATCTGAATTGTAAAATAAGCGAGAAATTACTCCTTCATTGAAAAATAAGAAGTAACAGTACATTTTCGACTCAATTTGAAGACACAGACATCACCATAGGATAGGCAACAAGAAGACAAAGAGGAAACCGGAAATGGCTTTCAATTGATATTTTTAACATTATATGAACATTTAAAGTTATATTTCTGAATTTTTCGGTTACTTAAAAAAGAATAGAAGTTAATTTTGTTTCTATTCTATTATATACAGGTTGCCATCGCCAAATATTTCACTAGCTAATTTATAACTGAATTTATAAAAATGGTTAGAATGAAGTGCTGATAAGTTAGCGTATATTTTTCTGTTATGAACATTGAGATTGTATGGGTAGGAATTTTGACTTAGAATAAAGGCGGCCATGCATAAAGATAAAGTATCGAGAAAAAAGGCTATGCTGTACTTAAACATCGTTATCAAAAGCACAGAAAATAGAAAAAAAAACAATTTAAAGCTTTCCATTGAGCACTACTAGTATTTCCAATGTGCAACGTCATTGATTGTGGGTTGTTTGACGATCATAAAAGAGGGACGAAAGATACCAGAGGGACAGTCAAACTCATAGATCGAAAACAAACTGACAACGCCATGGCCAAAAATAAAAAGACAAACAGACAAATACATTTTGTAATAGTACAGATGACACAACATAGAAAACTAAAGACTAAGCAACACGAACCCCACCAAAAGCTGGGGGTAATCTCAGGTGCTCCGGAAGGGTAAGCAGATCCTGCTCCACATGTGGCACCCGTCGTGTTGCTTATGTTATTACAAATCCAGTAAATAGTCTCATTCGGTAGGTCACATTCGTGAAAAGTGAAGGGTATTGTAGTTACAACATAAGGAACATATCCGATATCATCTGTGAAACGGTTATTCCATAACGGTCAACCAACTCGTGATGGCGTCCGTAAAATTTACGAAGGGATGCTTTCAACTTCACCATTTGGAACTCTTGGTTTAATAGCTTCCTTGTGAGCAGCAATCCTCTATTAAGGAAATCATAATAGGAAATACAAGCCCGGGAATATCGTATCAATTGGGAGATATATACTCCGTATGCAGGCGCTGCTGGAATGTTGCTACATAGAAATGGAAAGTTCACAATTGGGAAGCTGAAATCATCTCTTTTGTCATAAAGTTTTGTTTTCAATCAGACCCTCATTGTCAATTTCTAGATGTAAGTCAAGATATGAGGCAGACTTAACTGTATCTGTAGTATCCTTTATCTCTAGTTCGATGGGATAGATTCGTTCAACATAGTCACCAAATTTTGTATTATTTAGTGAGAGAACATCATCTATAGCGGA